AGATCAGATAGATCCGCGATCGATTCGAACCGACGCGCGGCGGCGAGCGGCGCCCGGCCGGCCGGCGGCGACGACGACGCGGACGCGGAGCGCGCGAGGCGGTCGCGGCGCGAGCGCGCGAGGGCGTCGAGTCGTTCGCTCGACGGCGCGCGCGGCGGAGTGGCCGCGGCAGAGACGCGAGAGCTCGGCGCGGGAAAATGGCGCGCGGGCGCGGCCGGCCTCGGCCTCCGCGCGAACGCGCCAGCTTGCAGCTTGGGTCGACGCGTCTGGAAGGACTTTTAAACGACTGACGGCGCCGCGTGGATGCGGATCTGAGCGCGCGTCGGCGCCACAACACCCCGCGCGGGTCGGATCGCCGCCTAGGGCGTCTCGAGCCCGGCGCGAAGCGATCCATCATGACGACGCGCGCGGGCGCGGAGTGCCGCGCCGCGGACAGCGTCCCCGGCGCGGTCGTCTTCGACGCGGTGGGCACTGTCTCCTTCGGCGGCGACGGCGACGCGAGCGCTCTCGATCCCCCGCCCGGGCACGCCAAGCTCGTCGCGGCGTCGAGCAAGCACGGCGTCGTGTGCTACGCGGACGCGCGCGGCGTGTACGCGATCGAGACGGACGTCCTGTGCGACGTCGCGAGCGCGCTCAAGGAGAAGGTCCCCGCGGAGCAGGTGGTCCCGCGCGACGCGCGAGGGTTCACGCCGATGCGACGCGTCTCGCACGTGAGCTTCAGCGCGGACGAGACCGTCCTCGCGGCGTGCGTCGGCGGCGTCGTGCACTTGTTCGAGACGCGGGCGATCCTCGAGAGCGCGCGCGCGCGCGGCGAGGCGCGCGCGTTTCGCGCGCAGACGCTCGGCGACGACGACGACGACGACGACGCCGCGCGCGTCGTGCGAGATCTGCAGTGGCTCCCGGAGCGCACGTCGAGGGCGGGGTACCTCGCGCTGCTCGTCCACGACGGCGACGACGACGAGCGCGCGGGGGGCAGCCTGATCGTCGGCAGCGCGGCGACGGAGGATCAAGACGCGGAGCAGACGGCGATCGCGGAGAACGTCGTCGCGTTCGCGGTCGCGCCGGGCGACGACGACGACGACGCCGCGATCGTCGCGTGGTCCGAACGCGGCGCCGGCGTCGTCCTCGCGAAGCTGACCGACCAGGGGTACTCCGCGGAGATGCGTCGCGTCGAGATCGGGCCGATCGACGACGGCGGCGGCGACGGCGCGGTCGAGGTGGCGATCGACGGCCTCGCGTTCGGGCCGCGGCCGGGACTGACGCTCCTGGCGACGGCTACGTTGACGACGGACGCGCGCGCGCATCACCTCTTGTGCCTCGACGCGGGCGCCGGCGACGTCGTCTACGGCGGCGGCGGCGCGACGCCGCCGCCGGCGACGCTGCACCGCCTGGAGGGCGCGTTCGCGATGTCGTACGACGTGGACGATCTGCGCGGGCCGTTCCTGCACGCGGCGGCGATCGACGCGTGGGGGGTATCGCTGGCGTGTCACCGCAAGGCGGAGGACAACCAGGTGTGCGTCGTTCGATGCGCGGGACGCGGCGACGCGGACGGTCCGTGCGTCCTCGAGGTCGAGGACGACAGGTGCGTGCCGTCGATCCCGCTCGCGGGGGAGGACGAGGACGACGAGAACTTCGTCGTCGGCGTCGCGGTGGATCACACGGGGGCGGGAGGACGCATGCTTCACCCGGCGGACAAGTCGCGGGATAAACTGCCGCAAGGGCCGACGGTGTTCGTCGCGACCGCGGACGCGAAGCTCGTCGTCATGCGGTTAGGGAACTTGGACGACGCGAAGGCGAGCGAGTACGCGAGCGCGTGCGTCGAGGCCGCGACGAAGGAGGTTCCGGCGGCGTGGGCGGCGACCGCGACGTCGCCGACGACGTCGCCGGGGATGAAGAAGAAGGAAGCGGCGCCCGCGCTCGCGCCCGCGCCCGCGCCCGCGCCCGCGCCCGCGCCCGCGCCGACGACGGGTGGTTTCAACAGCGCGTTCCTCGCGAAAGCGAACGCGGGGTACGCTGCGGCGCAGAAGGCGCTTCAGGACGATTTGGACAAGGCGGCCGCGCCCCCGGCGGCGGCGCCGAACCCGTTCCTGTCGTCCGCGGCGGCGGCGCCCGCGGTGGGGCCGTTTACGTTTCCGTCAGCCTCGGCCGCGCCCGCGAAGCCGTTCGCGTTCCCGTCGAGCGCGCCCAGCGCGCCCGCGGCGGGCGGGTTCACGTTCGCGCCGCCCGCGTCGACGCCCGCGGCGTCACCGTTCACGCTCGCGCCAAGCGCT